TTTTCTAATCCTAGTGTCACTTTTCCGCAACATTTTACCATGTATCTTATTCACATAACTTAAAAACTCATCACATGTATCATCTTAAGCACATAGCATTTAAGCACATAATCATGAATGCACAATGCATGCAATGGTCTAAACTCATGCCCAACAGCCCTAGGTAAATCGTATACCTATGCTCTGATACCAAGCTGTGGCACCCCTAAAATCAGGGGTCCCGTTGATAACCCGTCAACCTGTGAAAATACCCGTGAGTGCCGCTTGATCCGACATCACGCTAATATTATCCCCTTTACCAAGATTTTACATCACAATTAATGTCCATATTCCATTAATCATTAAATGCTATCGAGGTTCAATGTGACCCAATATATCTCATTTAAGGCCCATTTGTATCATTGGAACTAGAGAATGCATAGCTTAAAGCCTTGGAAGAAAAATAAAAAAAAATTCAAAATTGTCAAAGTGTACGAGTACGCGTACCGGTATGCATGGCTCACTGGACCTCACCGTAGCAGTACGCTGTGTCTTCTGAACCTCGCCGTACCGGTACGCTGAGCCCATTTTTCCTTGTTTCACCTGTTTTACATTCCAAGTCCATTCCAAACTTAACCAAATTCATCCCAAACATGTATAAAGATGTTTTCTACATTATACATGATTTCATACAAGTCTATTACAACCCATTTCCATACATTTCATTGATTTACATGAAATTTCATATAAAAACTAAAATTTTCACAATGATATTACAAAACTCAATATTTACACAAAATGTGTTATACAAGCCACAAGTCGGCTCTCTTCATCCTTGAGGTCCCATGTGAGGGTCTTTCATCAGTGTGTACTCTGCACCTGAAATATCTTCCCGTATAGGGTGAGCCAACTCCCAATAAAGTATTTCCTATAGAGGCTATTCCCCAACCTAAGTGCATATGCAATGTTCACATGCAACATTTAATAAACAATAATCATTCCCATCAAGACTAATCAATCTATATTGGAATTTAACATGTCGTACCATTATATGAGATGACACCCACTCATGCAACTGAACCCGAGCCCTCACAGGCTCCTTTCCCCCATACAATGACATGAGTTCTATGACTGGGTTTTCCAACCCCCGTCATTGGCCTCACTCATCAAATGACCGTTTTAAGATTTTTCAAGGTCTTTGTAAGGGTGGATGTTTATGGACTCACACCAAGGGTCACCCAACCCACACGGAATTTATGGACTTCCATCATGGGCTCCGCGTACACCCACACACTTCATGGACTGTACCAAGGGAGTGTGTATCCCATCACTGGGCCTTGCACCCGAGGGATTTTATTGCCCTTGTTGCTAACCCCAACCTTAATCACCATGTAATCCATGAGACTCGGCCAAGTCTTCGACCAAGCTTATTCGAACCCACTAGTCATCCACCGAGTGTGGTGTTGACAACAACCATGCACACACACTCATACATGCGATGTCTCCGTGCATATGCAATACAATGCACCATTGCTATTTCAATGTCATGCCTCGCATGTGATGAATGTCACATGTATACATATCTCATGCATATAAACACTAATTCCATCACCATGTCAATATATCAAGGAGCCTATATTAACATTTCATATCCAACCATGATTCTCAGGCATAAAATAAACACATAGCATACCCACATAACACCCATTTGCCATAGAATTACGCAAGTAATTGCAACCTACCAATTCCAATCTTGGAATTTTACTTAAATTAGGTTAAATTCACATACCCAATTCACTAACACCCAATTCCATTAATTTCACAACCATAGACAAGTGATATGAATCTCTATCAACCTACCTATTTCATATAACACCCAAGGTTGCTAAATAAACCCAAGTAGGAAGGAATCCTACCTCTTGAAGCTTGGAACCAACTTAGAAGACCTTCTAGAATCTCAATCAAGCTCAAACCCTTGATTTTCCTCAAGTCCTATTATTCAACCTTCGGTGAAAACTCTTGTTTTTGGTACGTAGGGGTATTAAAATTGCAAGAGAACCTGATGTTTAGTTAAATTGATATACTCTCATTTCTAGTTCTATTGATCATATATGAGTTGTTTGTCATATTTTGTGCTAATATATGATTGTTTGATCAACAAGTAATTTGATAACCTAGATGAAATTGGAAGATGAATTCTAGGTTTAGATATGAATATGATGACATGCGTCTGGTTAATTCTTCTTAAGATTGAATTACTGGGTTTGTGTATAGGATAGGAATATATCTATCTAACGTGTGTAATTTTTATGAAACTTTGAACTTAATGAACCTATTCTAAATTATTTTATATAGGAATATAATAATTTAATTGGGAGAGATATTTTTATCTAACTATCAGAAGATGTTTAATAAATAATTTTGAGTTCTCAATTAGCAACTTATTTTGATCAATTAACTGAAAAGAGAGTGGAAAGATTTATATGAAGTTGTAATCTTAACTTCTTTTATCCAGTAAATTCAACCCTTGATTATTAAGTTTAGATTGAGTTTTAAATTAGTAATTTTATAGTTCAATTCCAATTATTTAAATAAAATTGAATTGATATAAAGTTAGTACGTGAAATTTATTAGTAATAATTTTCCGTGTGAACGATACTCTACTTATCACTTTATTACTTATTGATCGTGTATACTTGCACGTAAATTGACAATATTAAATTTGGACAACATTAATCAACCTTATAGATACACATACATAGAGGTAATGGAATAAACAGTTTTGAGCAATTGATGCTAGGGTTCTCAAATTAGGATTTTTCATAAAACCGTGTTTGTCACATTTCAAATTTGGGTTATTTTCATGAAATAGGATTGTAGGGTTTTGACTGAAAGTTATAGATGTTTTTGGTATTTTTGATTGAATGTTAGTGTAGCAGTGGTTTTGAACTTAAATGTTATGTTTGTTTTGATTGCAATTGAGGTTTAATTTCTTTTTTTTTTTTTGTTTTTTGGATGTTAGGGTTTTGTTGGGTGTTACTTTAATAACATAGGGTTTTGCGAGTTTGAATTGTTTTAGTTGAATATGACTATTTTTGTTTACTTAAAATTCTAATGCTTAAAGCTAATGCTTAAATTCTAAGAGATCCGATTGTCTATTAAAGGTTGGTAGGTAAACTTATCTACCTAGCCAATACTAGGCCAGACATTTCATTTGCTGTCAGCAGAGTTAGTCAATTCATGCATAAGCCATGTCAGTCTCATCTTGATGCAGTTTATCATATTCTTCGATACCTCAAGTCATGTCCTGTACTTGGGTTGTTTTATGCATCAGGATCTCTGATTGATTCTCTAGGTTGCTATTTAGATTCAGATTATAGGAAGGCATGTGATGGACGATCTACTACGGGCTTCTGTGATTTTTGAGGAACTCATCTTATCTCTTGGAAGAGTAAGAAGTAGACAGTTGTCTCCCACTTATGAGCAAAGGCAGAGTATCGGACACTGACACTTAGTACGTGTGAGATTATCTGGTTACAATCGATTCTAGGCTAGTTGGAATTTTTAGTGACTTCTCCATCCATATTATATTGTGATAAAACGATCTTTTATTCAACTCGCTTTTGACTCTGTACTACATGAGATGACGAATCATACAGAGATTGATGTTTACTTTCTTCGGGAGAAGGTTAGCTGTGGTATTGTCACTCCCTCATTTATGAGGATCAGTGATCAGGTTGCAGATATTTTTATCAAACCTGTCACTCTATCCATTCTCTGAGACTCCGTTGTTAAGTTTGATTTAGTTGACATTTTTGCGCCTAAATTGTGGGAGAGTGTTGGAGTTATAGCCTAATTTATTAGGGTTTTACCTTTTTTTATCTTTTTATCCTTATTATAACTTTTATTGTTTGACTATATATACGAGTTTATATCCCTTTTGACTCACATTTTTCTCTAGTCAGATGCTGGTTTTTAATTGCATGGCAAATGATAGAAGTGGAATATATTTGTCCTAACTTTGTGATTCATCATGTCAATAAATGATGATATATTTTACGGTTAGGAACATGGTTTTTCCACATGCATTCGCCCTTAACCGTATCCCCCACTCAGCTCAGTACCCCCTACGCATGTCGATACCTGCATGAAGGAATTCTTAGATTGCTTTCAGAATTTTTTGCCGAAAGTTCTATTCCAGAAAGGTGCCATTTATGCTTATGATATCTCAACTTATTTGATCGTGTCAATATGGCCTTAAGTAGTAATATACAGAAAATTAGTTACGAATTTTTTTTATATTACACAATTATGTATATGCTTTTGGGTTACCTATGACAAGCAATTCAAACGATCACAGGAGAAGTCATAAAACGACAATCAAATGATCCCAAGTGTCTCCAAGGCTGTGGTGATATCAGGGGTGTCATACCCCTCAGTTAAGGCAATGTTAGGGGTATCTTGGGGGACTACGTCTTCCCTCTTGAAACTGTCTTCGCTTCGAAATAGCATCTCGCTGGCATATTCCACAGAACCTTTTAGGATTACAGTTTTGTGGATACCAACTAGCAAGTCTTCATAGTCTGTATCTCCTCTTTCCCCAACAAACACAATCATCTTGGAAAGGTCAATGCCCCACCTTACTGATAAGTACCTGCATAACATGCGCAAGCATGAAGAATAATTATTATTGCTTAGGCTGTATGTTGATTATGGAATACACCCATCTTACGTAATACATTACAGTAGGAAAAATATTTTTTACCTTAGTGCTTGGACCCTAGATGCAATTAAAGGTACTACATTCAACCTTTTTGCAGCTTGTGTGTAGACAAGGTTGCATCGTAAGCCTCTCATCCGGAACCTCTGGCGAAGGTCATCGATCCTTCGAACCTGGCCCCACAATGAAGCCATTGTTACAAAAATTATAGTATACATCAGAGAATGTAGTACCTAAGGCATTATTCTTCATGGTTACTGTTTGCGGTCTAACCCCTCGGATTGGTTTAGAAGAATCTCACCTTCGCTCCTGGTTTGATCCTATACGAGTAGCATCGAGAGCTGCATGCACTTATGTGTTCCACAATGTCATCCTCAGCCTCATCTGCTATCCTAGCAAGCCTCATCACCATTGATCTCACATTCCCACCAGGCCAGCGATACTCAACATGGGCTTCGTAGTTTGCATCAGCTACCAAATCCTTCCATGGGTAATACATTTCACTTCCGCTACTACAAACCAATGCGTCAAAATCTTCCAGTTTTACCTGAGAAGTCAATGCTTCTTTTGCCTCGAGTAAGCTTAAACCTGTTAGCAATATAAAGCCTGTCTCCCCTGATCTCGAGCCCGCAGATGTCATCACATTGTTTATAATTGATGATAACATCCCAGTGCAGAGTCCATTATTGTTATAACAATCAACGGCAATTATAAATAGCCTCTGCCTTCTTCCCGGATAGTAACTAACGGTGGAGTTTCCGTTGGAGGTAGCCATTTGGGTTAGGGTCCTAATTAGTTCCTTTTGTTTGGTTGTTGCATCAAGCTCCCCATTGGGCTTGAAATCCACGTCAACGGAGAATTTCAAAGAAAGGTCCTCAACATCCCTTAGTGACTCACTCATGGGTTCTTCAAGAGTTGTCATAATCTCAAGACGTGTGGTCGGGTGGCGATTTCTGCAGTGCTCAACATGGGACAGGTAGTTGCGGCAGTGTTCTGGCCATGAGAAGCGGTGGATATTCTTTAGGCCGTGTTTGCGGCACTCAAGCCAGAGGTTTTTGTCTGCGACAAGCTTCAGGAGAGCATCTGCTATGGCTTTCTGATCATGTGGGTCAATGAGAAGGCCATTGTTAAGTGCCTGAAAAGGGTTCACGTTTGATATACAAAATAATTACTCTAAGAAACACTTTGTTCTTGTGATTGGAAAACAAAGACAAACAAGATCTAGGATAGGCATATGTTTACTTTGACTATATCTACGGGTCCGCCATTTTTGGTAGCGACCACAGGTAAACCATAAGCAGCCGCCTGAAAGAAAGAGTTACACGAACCTTAAGGAATTTGTTACATATATGTTGTTCAAAACATTGACTGTTTTAGGCATTCCTTGGATAAGAATCTGAATTCCAATAAGATTGAGTCCATTTTAGCTGTGAAAAAGATAGTATGACTGACCTCTATGAGTGTGAGACCGAAAGGTTCCACGAGGGCTGGGTTGATGAAAACTCCCTTCAAGACACAAATCCGCCATAGAAGTATTACTGTTAGCAGTTTTAAAGTTGCAATGAAAAGAGGTTAACATGTGTTGAACTGTTAAGTAATAAAGTAGGATTTATTTATATGAAACATATTCCATTTTGAATCTTGTCTACAATTCTATGGGGAATGCAGGCCATTATTTATGTTGAGGTACATGGGCTATGGTTTGTAGTGGGTTTCTTCGGATTACCTACTGTTGATAAAGACCAGATGATTACTGTCACTCTATGTTCTAATATACCAAGTTGGCACATTTACCTTAGTTTTTGCAGCCAGACGGTATATCTCAGGAACATCACATTGATTATGATGCTTTGGGTAAGCCACCTGACCATATAAGTCGTACTTGTCAATGAGCTTAAGTACAGTGGTCAGAACAATTGAGCTGCTGTTAGACATCTCTTCTATGTCATCTCTGTTACCAAGTATCAGTGTCTGCAGAGACAATTAGGAATCATTGACTAGGGCTGTGTAGAATTATGTCTGCAAGGAATCTTCAAATTTGAAATGCAGTTTTTACCAAATTTGCTATCTCTCGTAGGGGTCGGCATTCGGCGTAAGCCTTGAGCAAAGTGGTTACATTTTTCTTGGGGTCTGGACGAGACAAAGCAAGTACCATGGGCTTGTGCGGGTTTGCCAAAAATCGCATGATCTGCAATGGAAAAAAGTCAAGAAGGAAATATTGTTTTGCGATATTCAGATACCCCGGAGAAGACAAGGAAATTTATATATTCGTCATGGTGTTTCTATCGAGTTGCTTATGCGTACGATCTTCTAACTGTTTTCAAAAATGGATGTTATTACCAAATCAGATTCTCATCTTTTAGTGGAACCTTATGGTTGAAACCATTATTTCCTTAAGGAGGGTAAATTTAGATCACAGTATGCAAGGGAATGATGTCTAACCTCTGCCCAAATCGGAGGTAAATGCCTTTTATTTGGAGTTCTATCAGCACCTATAAGGGACTTCAGATCGCCAACTACTTCCAACGAATCTTTTGCTGTGACATAGCTAAAGTCCATGCCCGGTGGTATAACCTAGTGCCATGGAATGTAATGTTTAGAGACTGCAATTAATAAGCTGCATTTTATGAAATGCGCACAATTAAGTATGCAGTGTTGTGGTTGACTCGGCCAGTTTTCTTAGGTATTTTTTATCCCATTGAACTGAAAGTGCACAGTGGCTGTGTATTTGACCTGCCAAGATGGGTTGAGATAATTTCATTATTATAAGTAATGTTATATGAATTTAAAAACTAAATTTAAAAATTAGACTTGATAGGTTGTCCATACCACCATCCTTGGCATGTACCTTCCGTGGCAGCTTACTCCCCTTCTTCTCCTAACCCTAAGTTTCCTCTCCATCTTAATATCAAAACCATCATACAAACCCCATTGCTCTTCAATCTCTTGCCTCGTACTCGTCACCACCAGTTCAGCGGCATCCAACCCCAACTCTTCAGCTTCAATTCTCCTCATGATCTTGTATGTTGAATTTATGTCCTCCCTAGAGTACCTCCCTTGCTTAAGTAATTGCTCGAACTTGTTCCGTCCCAGTGAATGCCCCGTTAGCACCATGGGAACATTCAAGACTCCTGACAAATATGCCGCTACCTCCCCAGCATCTGCATAATGGCCATGAATCACATAAGGCCACATTGGCTTTCCCCCGTCGATTTCTTCACCAAGAGCTCTCGCCATGTTGATAATGTGACTTAGAGCCCCATCGAGAAATTCTGGTATGTGAGGCCAGAGCGACTCTTTTGGAATGTACCTGTGCCAAAGGCATTCAAGTTACTCTCATCACTCTTGGTTCTGTAAACTGCACTCTTGGAATGGAAGAAACATAATGACATCATTAAGTTGGCGAAAATACTGATTAGTTGATTAGCTTAAGAAAAACACAAACACACACGGTCAAATTTAGGTCAAACTCTAGAGGATGACGTGTTGCCCAATATTGTCGTAAGATGAGAAACGTGTGGCCGGATCAACAGCATCACTAGTCAGCATTGTGAGGCCTCCTTTCTTCCATAGGTTGTGCGTACTATTCTCATTGTGCGGCCTTGTTGGGCCAAATTCACCCATTGAAGTTGAGGCCAACTTCAAAAAATACAAACTCCAAAATTCAAATGCATATGGAAATTGAAAAGTACTTAATTACTTATCACGGGGTCCACATGGGATTCGGACTATGTAGGCACCACAGCTACCACTGCCATCGGGCGGGCAGGCCAGCATCTCAATGGGTTCACCATAGCTAGAATCAACCTCTACTGATGTGATTTGTCGAGTCAGGAGATCTACGCGATAGACTCCTTTCATGTTGGACAGTGCTCGAGCAAGTTCTACGACGTATTTCACCTGAACATTGGGAGAAAAAGTGAGAAAAATACATATATTATGCATTATGTTAGATCAGATATTACCATCAGGGCTAACTTCTGGCTTCAGGATTACTCGTCTTGGGGTGGTCATGGGATTCAGTTTGCAACTCCGAGCAAAAAACGTAAAGATTTATGGGTGTATGTGAAACAAGAGGGAACTGTTGATAATACTACCTGACCACCAGTATCAGAATCTCTTCCAAGTTCCATGTTTTCTCCACGTACCAACCCGTGAAGACTACATAAGCATTAAACATGAAACCATAAGATCATCATTATTGTCATGCATTTTCATTAGATTTTGTGGTGTTTGTTTTTGTTATTTTTGGTTTTGTAGGACTCAAAATTCATGAAAAGCAAATACTGCCATCATCAAATTATTATTTTCCTTGCATAAAATTTAGCATCTCCCTACCCCATTTCCTCTTTTGTTTATAAGGAAGCTGTATTATAAGATTATCATTCTCGAGTATTTGTACATATAATTATATTCTAAATTTATTATATTTTTTGTCAAAGAGATTGATTAGATTGTAATATTATTGTTTTTATTATAGTATCATAATATTGTGACATACCAGAAAAGTCAAATATGATATATATTTGACCGTAGAATTTAATCTAGCAACTATATATATATATATATATATATATATAATATAGATATAGATTGGACTTTAATTTTTCATAAAAGTATAGACATAAATATAGAGAAGTGTACACAAGTGTAATACTAATACATGATTCCAAAATAATTTAGAAATCAAATATTACTAGCATGGATCAAAATTTTATTTTAGTGCATTGTTTTGGTCACCTAAAAAACAAAAATATTTTGACATGTTTCAGAAATATTTCAACTCGTTTCGAAAATAGAATGAAAAAAAATAAAAAATTTAAAAATTATTTTTTTAAAATATTGATCAAAATATATCAAAATATTTTGAAATATTTCTGAAATAATTGTGTAAATGTATTAAAACATAACAAAATATTTTGAAACATTATTGAACACCTCGAAATATTAAAATTTTGATTTCATCACTGATTTATTTGGGTCTCTTTGAAAACAAAAATGTTTCAAATGATTTGATTGTTTGGAAACAATATTTTTATCTTTGATTATTGCTCAATTTTTCTCTCACAAAACAATGCTTGGAAACTGTAATAATTAAGTGTACCTGATCAAGACAATGTAAAGGCGCCTAGGTTTATCCTCGTTTGACCAGATTTCTATGTCGGAGTTGATTCTTGAAATGTTTTGTGCTAAAGTTTCCGTTTGGTTGGTGTCACCTTTTTCTTTCTCACCTTCTGAGAGCTCAGAAAGATCTCCAGCAGCATCATTGCGACATTTTTCACGCTCAATACACCGGTTTCCAAGCCTCTGTGCATCATCCCAAGCTACCTGTAAAGAAGATATGTTTCTTCAGAAGTTGAATGTTTGTAACCTATAATCTACAAGGGGATACATAATTTGATGCTTGATGCATTCCAAGTTTTGACTCTCCAGGCTGTCATTGGGGGTCAAGTGAAGAAAATGACCTTTAACGATGGAATTGTGTGGGGAATAATGTCTAAGACGTCCGCATACCTCATGTTAGTGCAATCCACTTCACCAACAAATAGAAAGATTAAAGAATCTTTATATACCAGGCATGTCATTGTTATTAGGGATTAATGATGAAGGTTTTGTTGTTAATATTATGACACACTGTGCTTTGCAGGGAATTCCTTAAAACTCATAATTATCTTTTCTTTGTTGCCCATTCACTGGTAGAATTTGAATCTCCATTCAGACCAAACAAAATGAAGTGTGGCCTGTCTTGGATTAGTTTTAAAAAGAAGGGAAAAAGGTTGAGGAAGCTGATTGGCAAACTGATTTTATCCACTGCAGTGTATGTTATCTGGAAGAGGAATTGTAGGATTTTTAAAACTGCATATAAGGATGTGACCGCCATTTATAGAGAAATAGTGAAATGCTTCATATTCAAGCTATACGCTTGTGCAGGGGCTATAAGAAGACAAATAAGATGTTATGGCTACAAAATCATTGGGCACTCTCTGAAAATCTTTGACCCCCTTGAATCTTGTGACTTGATGCAGGCTGCTCTTATCTTCTTGGTGCTATGGAGATTGTACAGCTTTGTTGGGTCATGCTGTTGGTGATTGTGCATAATTGGAGGTTGCTGTGTACAACTTAGGTATGTTTCTACTTGATTTTATTTGCTTTATTTTGCCTACTCTGGTGCACTCGCTTGTAATTACTTAGTTCTCTCTTGGAGGGATGGTGGATCTTCTATGTGTACATCGTCAACAATGATTGTAGATTGGCAACAGAGATTTTTCAAACCTTTCATCCCCAAATACATCGTGAACAAGTATGTTTTTTCATAGTAATTTCTAGCTCTAGTCATTTTCTACAAGTGTATGGCATTCGGCAAAAAAAAAAGTGTGTATATGTAGAAAGAGTAATGCTACATGAATTTAAAAATTAAATTTAAAAAAGAGTTGATAATTATAACTATTGATTTCACTGTAGATCCCAATAAATGCTAGGATCCACTACTTATTTAATAGTTATGATTTTCAAGTCTAATTTTTAAGTCTATTTTTTTAGTCTATGTAACATTGCTCATGTAGGAATGGTAACCGGATTGTGTCATGTTGTCTCCGAGTTAACTCATTTTGTGTTGGTGTCGAGTACAAAACAATACCACTCATTTCATTAATTATGTCTGATGTCTTGATACTAAATAGACTTGGTTATCAATCGTGTTATATTCAAGTTTAGTCACATAATCCATGAACGAGAAATTCATAAAAATGAAAACAAAATCAAATATTATCTGATTGAACTTTTTATCAAATTCAGTCAGTTTATAAAAATAATTCCCAAAATAGGTTAAGTTTTAAAAATAGTTTTCAAACTCAGATAATTTATAAATACGCAAGTCCAATTGTCGTTATAATAGAAACGTCAGTTCAATTGAACTTTTTTTACACAACTCAACCATTTCAATTACCAATAAATGAGATAAGGAGAGAAGTATATTTGAATTGGAACAACTCTATTCATTTATCTAGTAACACTTAAATAGACACAACCTCATAAACTTTTACATTCTAGGACCCCACTATGTTAATCACTAAGAAGAGGTAGCACTTTCCCAAGTAAGACTCCTAAGTTAAAGAACTTAATACAACATCTCTTATAGGCTTTTTATTTTCATTCAATTCTTTATTATAGAGTGTAGTACTCGAAAACTTCAACACACATAACTTCACCATAATAGGACAAGTTGCAACAATTATCAGATGATATGAAAATGGAGTCTGACAGTGTCAACTGGACTGGTGTAGATACTAATATCATGCGTGTCGGCCAAGGCATGACACTCATACGCAACACCTAAGGTGCGACGCCCCCTGGGCGCGAAGCCCTGTTGGCACAATACCCTTAAGCATAAATACCACATTAGGGCGAAATACATCTCCACCGCATTGAAAATGGCAAAATGGACCTTTCACCAAGGGTGGATGGAAGTGGAATCACAGAAGTATGGGACAACCTCAGCGAAACTCGCCTCCCCCACTATAGGAGTGGTATCCTCAACCTATTGGATACCATTGCTCGACTGGCCCACTGGACTAAGAGAATATGTCCCCACCTAAGGACATGAAAGTATGGCCCTCCTCAAGGGAGAATTGAGCAACGGGGGTTGACGAGCATGATTGTCAACCTCAGCTTAGGGCAGGATATCGAAGGTTTAGTTTGTTCGAGCAGGCCTCTCAATGTATGACTCATTGTCCACTGTGATGTTCTTGACTGGGATCCGGAGAGACTCCTAAGGTAACTGGAGTTATTGGCCCAGATCAGCACATGGGATAATGGGACATGTGGATTGGTAGCTGAAGGACCAAAAGTATGTGAGTTTCCCCTATTGGGCACCTTAACAAAGGTCTCGAAGAAGGGTCTAGAGAGGAAAAAGACCCCGAGTAGGAGTGCGCCGGGGGCATCACGAATATGGCCCTCACGAAGTCATGGTCGTACGGTGACCAGTTGCAGTCATGGACCTTGGGAGCTCGTTCTCGCCTTGGCTTTTATACCTTCATCAAGGCCACGTCCAGGTTGTGTTTGGGAAAACATCACATCTGCCTAGTTAAAGTTGGAATGCATGGCTCATATTGACGGCTACTGGTATCACCGCAATCAAGGCGGTTATGGTTCGCACAAGTGATAGGGGTTGCGGTAGGTAGCCTTTTGGCCAACCCGACTTGCCCGGGCACTGTGCTATAAATGTCCACATTACTTGCCCACTGCAGGGGATGATTGTATGACTGGTAAGAGCATTTTTCACCTACTCTCTGTCCAACTGGTTTGTCCATTCATTAACAGGCTGCTCGAGTTCTTTCCATCTCATCCACTCATCCTACTCACCCTCTTCGATTACTCTTGGCTTAGACACGTGTGTCAACCTCTTTTAATCCCCCCACCTACATTCTTTTAGCAATTCCATTGGAGAGGCTTGCTCTTGCTAGCGTATGCCTATTACAACTTGAAGTGGAAGAGTATTGTTGAATACGATGACCAAAAATAGCAACGACAAGGAGTGCGAGGATAGCCATGGTTCCTCTACGATTCGAAGGGCTCCGAAGGTGCTATAGGGCCCTCTACAATGGCGCAGGCTCTACACGACATTCAAACTTTGCAACAGCAGATGGCTGTGGAAATGCAGATGATTCAAGCTCAGATGTATTTTCGGCCACCTGGCTTGCAAAAATCATCGATGTTCTTTCCATTGCTCCCACAGTACCTAGTGCCACCACCTTTGACTTTACCAGTATCTCCTCCAATGGCACCGTCGAGCGATAATGGTGCATCACGAAAGTCAAGCCCTTATGGTTTAACTTTGTAAAACCCTACCAGTGGACCCCAACCACTTCTGCTGCAAATGGATTCAACTAACCCCCTAGTTCCCTCGCAGCAAACTACCACATGCAACCCTCTAGCACTTTTGCAACAAACTACTGCAACGGAATCTCTAACTCCCCTACAACAAGCAACTACAATGGGCCTCAAGATGTCACAACCCCTGAGGTACCCACTATGTCTAGACCCGAAACCACGACTGGTGCATATCTCCTAAACTTTCCAATGGCTCTTGGATATGAGCACGTTGCGACTGGCTACAACTATGGCCTTGTAGCTTCCCAAATGGCTCTTCTCACCATCTCTACAACAGCACCAACAACTACCCAAGTGTGGGGTCAAATTATTTTTTCCACTGTCCCCGAATCATGCCTTCAGCATTTTCGGCCATCGTCGCCACCACCTTGTTTCCATCAGTAGTCGCTTGGACGCTGTACTTTGCCAGCACAGAACTGCCAGTGCCTAGTGCTGGGTTTGTCGTGCTAGCACAAGTACATGCATTATTGGATAGACAGAAGGAGCCCATGCCAACAACTATAGACATAAGGTCCAAGTTTACCTCGGTTGTGCAGCAAATTATGTATCCTACGGGGTACTAACCACTGAAGTTCAATGTGAAAAATGGCAACCCCAGGGAGCACATTACCCATTATCTTGATAGCCTTGGCCATTATGTGCTCCACGAGCCTCTTCGGATGAGGGAATTTTTCAAGTCCCCCAAGGACAGGGCCTTCACCTGGTATGCTAACTTCTTGGTAGAATCAATGAAGGATTGGGACAACTTGGTCGCATAATTCTACGTAAAGCTTTTCCATGTCGAGTAGCGTACTACAGTACTTTCCCTGACAAAGACTATTTAGGATGATAGAGAAGCCTTGATGACATACATTAACAAGTTCTGTGACAAAGCCATCGAGTGCCAAGAAAATGTCACCGAAGAGGCCCTTGTCCAAATATGCATCAACAGAATGTACAACAAATACAAGGCATACTTGCTGAACAATGACCTTAAAACCTTTAATAGGCTATGCAAATCTGCTCAAAGGCTTTCGGTGGTGGTCCAACCCTCCCTTAAGATAGCCAATTGGAACGACAAGAGGAAAGGTGCAACTGTTCGAGTTGCTGAGGAAGTCCCAAAGGGGGGTCAACGTCCAAAGAAGCGAGGGAGAGCTTCCAAGCCTGAGGAGTCACCTTCGTATCCTTGTGGTGTGAAGGAAGTCTGATAGATTCTCATGGAATGAATTAAGAACGGTGATGTCAAGCTACCACCAGTGGAAAAGGAACCAACTAGAGAAGAAAAAATAGCTCGAATTTCTGTGAATTTCATCGCCACACCAAGCACAACCTTAAGGATTGGTGGACCGTGTGCTGACTATTTCGAAAGCACTTAAAGAGTGGAGAGTTGGTACTGACGAGTGCTAGGGGTAATGTCCATAATCAACCCCTCATAGACCACGAAGAAGGTAAGGAGGTGCACATGGTGTCATTCTATGATGAAATCAAGGATATAGTAGAAGGTAACTTCAAAGAGTGGCCTGAAATCCAATTAAATCGAGAGACCTTAGAAGATTGCCACGATGTGCCAAAGATTGACTCGTACGCGAAGTGCACGTATCTTTAAGGAAATAGTCAAGTTCAAAAATTTCTTTAATCAATTGGGACTTAC